CCCCATGGAGCCCCCGGCGCAGCCCTGGAGCCAGGTAGGAGCGGGAAGGAGCGAGAGGGGGCGGCTGGTTACGTCCCTGCCACGCGAGGAGACACGGCCCACGAGCGCGGTGGGGTGGTGGTGAGGAGTCTGCGTGACCGGGACGGGTCCAAGGGTAGTGGAGGGCTGGGTGGGAAGGCCTGGCCCGGACGGAGGCTGCTGGCCAAGTTGGCTGTACTCCCCCAGCCCACAGGCGCACGCAGCAGACACACAGGCGCGCAGGCGCACGTGCACACCCGCGCACACACACAGAACAGCACACGCACAGCAGACACAAAGCAGACACACGGATAGCACGCACACGGCACACACACAGACATGGCATCGCCATAGCACACACCAGACCCACACGCCCTGAGGCATCAGTCTCTGTCCGGGATGGTTGTCCTCACCAATTCTGCCCAGTGTGTAAATATTTACAGGGCCTCTGGCGGGCTGGGGCTGCGGGGGGGGGGGTCTTCTTCCCTTCCCTCAGCAGGCAGAACCCAGAGCTTCCCAACACTTTTGTCTGCCCAGGGCTGCTGCAGGGAGGCTCCTCCCCTCCTGCTGCCCTCTGCTTGCTGGCTCTCTTCCTCCCTCAGCCCCCACCGGCCCTGCTGCAGGCCCAGACACACGTAGACAGCCCCTTTCCCACCTTGGAACCAAGGCAGGCTGCCACCCCACTGTCCACAGGCGCGGCTTGGGCTCCCCAGGGAGGTCGGGAGCTCTGGGATTGGCACAGGGGACCCCAGGCTCTGCCTCCCTCGCACTCCTTTCTCCCCTCTGACTCCACCTCACCTCCTGCCTCCCCCAGCCTCCAAGTCTGGGCTTCCGTCTCCTGGGATGGACCCCCTCAGCAACGCTCCCCTGGGGTCCCTGCTCCTTCTGCAGAAGGAGCGTCTCCTCAGGCCGCGGGCGCTCTGGGCAGGGGCTGCGGACATCCCCCTCCTGTCTCCCTTCCTTCCTCGCCTCCCTCCTCTTCCACCCCTCACGCTTTCTTCCTCCCTTAGCCACCTTCTCTGTCCCCACCACGACCACCCCCTCCTCCAAGATCCACCCCATCTCTCCTGCGCCAGCTCCAGGCAGGGCCACTTCCTGGTCAGTACCCCAGCGCACCCCCTCCCCAGGGTGGCCCAGGTCAGACAATGCGGCTTTCATAACACAGGCCTCTTTCTGCCTTCCTGCCATGGCCTTGGGAGCCTGAGCCTGCTGCCCAGGAAGCCCAAACCGCAGGCGACACAGCCAAAACCCCACAGACGCCTGAAGCCGAGACCGAGGCCCCCATGCAGCTGCGGGCCAAGAGAGGACCACAAGGCCAGGGCCCTTCCTTAGCCACCCGAGACGTGGAGGGGACTCAGGAGACTCCGAGCAGGCCTGGCCGGGGCAGGGGGCCAAGCCCACACCCTGGGCTCCCCTGCAGCCTCCTCCTTCCCCGTCCCCAGAGCCCCAGGAAGGAGCCTGGCTCCCCATCCGGCATGCGGACTTCTGCCCAGTGCTGCAATGTCGCATTCCTGCACCGGGTTCTAAATTGAATTTCCTGAGGAATCAGATCCTTCAGACCTAAAATAAAATCTAGGCAACCCCGCCTAGTTGACATCTTAGCTTGGTGGCCTAGGCCCACGTGTACATAAGAGGAGTCCACTGTCTCCAGCCTCCTTGGGGTTCAGGGCCAGAGGTCAGCCCACGGCCTCTCCATCTCCTCGTGACCTGGGCACCCCCAAACTCCAGGGCTCGGCACTCATCCACACGTGGGCTGAGCACCCTCTGGGGCTGCTGCAAATCCAGTGACCACCCCAGTGGAAGGAAAGAGGAGGACTGCAGTCCTCATGAGCAGCCAGGCCTCCGGGACCGGTTATGACCAACAGACGCCAAGTTCCCAGCAACTGCACTGTGTAGAGAAGCCGCTGCCGGGCCTGGGGTCAGGGAAGGCGTTCTGGAGGAAGAGCAGTTCCAACTGGTTCAGGAAGGATGGGCTGGGTTTAGACAGTGGTCGGGAGGCACCATGTAGCCCAGACAGACTGATCAGCAGGCCTGGTGGTGGCCGGGAGAGCCATGGAGAGGCTTGTGTGCCTGGAGCCCAGAACCTTTGTTCACTGAATCCATTGAAGATGTTGGCAGAGGACGTGGACGCCGGACCAAGCAGAGACAAAGTGCAGGGTTCCGGATCAGAAGAGGTCCTGGTCTTCTCTCCAGAGACGATTGGAGCTCTGAGGGGAAGTCCAGGCTTCTGTCTACAGAGGCAGGAGGGGCTGCATTTGAGGGGCCAGGTACTCCCCTCACCCTGAGTGCCTCTGCTCTGCCCTCCAGATGCTCCTCACAGACCCTCTGCACGTCTCTGCTGGACAGTGCTGCCCCTTGGCCACAGAAGGACAGTGGCTCTGGGCCTCCGGATGTGTGTCCAGGTCATTCGGCCTCCTGACTGGTTCTCCTGCCCCTCCTGTATCTAGGGCCCTTCTCCACACTGAGGTCTGCAGCGGCGGCAGCAGTGCTTTTCCAGCTGGGGATTCTCTACTGCTGCTTCTTTTCTTCTTTCTGGTCCTTTTATTTCTTTGGGGCTTTTTTTTGAGACAGGGTCCCACTATGTAGCTCAGGCTGGCCTCCAACTCTTGGCGATCCTCCTGCCTCAGCCTCCTGAGTGCCAGGATTACAGGTGTGCACCAGCACGCCTAGCTTTCCCTCTGATTCTGAGGCCCGTCCCTAAGTGTGTGACTCAGCCCTGTGTTGCTCTTGTGCTAAGTCCCCCTTGTGACCTCTTCCGTGTCAGCAGAAACCTGGGCTGTGTCTGCTACAGCACTGTCATTGTCACCCCTGTGCATTCTGGTGACCTCAGAACAAAGCCTTGAAATCCAAAGAGCTGAGACTTAGGGTCCCCTTCACACACAAGCTGACTCGGACCCCGTTGCGGGCTGCTGAGGACCAGGACGTGGACCTGCCTGCTCCTTATACCCAGAGTAAGAATCGGGACCCCAGGGCAGGGCCTAGGACCCTTGCTAGCCCCTCTCCCAGGGCCAGTGGCTGGGGCTGGCAGGCGCCTCTGTCCCTGGAAATTAGGACCCCGGCTCTGAGCCTCCCAGGCTGTGTCTGCACAGGCCCCCCCTTTGTCTCTGCTGCGATCTTCTGAAAGCCGCCGGACTCTCTGTGGTAGTGCGGTGCAGGAGCCGCTCTGGACAGGCCTGGAGAGAGGATGGGCTGGGACAGGAGCAGCCCCGGACAGGAAGGGCCCCCAGTGGAGACTCACTAGGCCCTCCCACCCGGCCCGGCTCCAGCGGGACCTGTGGTTTACCCCAGGCAAGTCAAGGCCGCCCGCTTGGACTGCTGTCCTCTGTGTCACCTCAAATGGACCTCCAGGACCCCTGTCTCCAGGACCATGAGGGTCTTTGGAAGTAGAATTTCTCAGGCTCCAGGCTCAGCATCCTGGGAGGGGACGGAAGCTTAGGCAGGCAGCACCCTCGGCCTGTGTCCACCCACCGAGTCCTGGAGCCTCTCCACGCAGCCTGGGTCAGTCCCTTGCCATCGCCTCCCTCTTGCCCTCCTGCTGGTGATGGGCGAGCCCCAAAGCCCTGCATATTCCCTAGGACAGCCGCAGTTCCATCCCCAAGGCGGCTCTGCCCCCGGGGCTCTGTCCCTGCACCCCCTTGCTGTCTCTGGGGACTGTGGCAGGTGTCACTCTCGGTTGCACTGCTGTCCCCTCCGTCTTCCTCCGCCTCTCGGTGTGGCCACACCTCCCTCGGGTGTCTCAGGCCCCTCTCCCCTCATGGTGTAGGGCGGAGCGGGGCACACTTGAGGCGTGGGGTCACCCTGTGGCTGCCCTGTGCATCCCGGGACGGGCTGTGACCCTAGCTGCTTCCTCCCCCATCTCCCCAGGGCCCCAGCCCTGTCACCTTGGAGATGTGGGTTTGAGGGTGGCCCCAGGCCTACATCCTGCGTGGACACTGTAATTACCTTCGCGGCTGCGGTCACCTCTTCCCCTGCATCTCCCCTGGCTCCTCCTGCCAGGCCAGGATCCTGCTCGCTGACCCAGTTCCTGCCGTCCCTCCCCATCATCTCTGCCCCCGTGTCCTCTGTACCTCCACTGCCTACTTTCACCCGGTCCCCCTGTGCCTGAGTCCCCGCGGCCCTCGCTTTCTGAGCTGTCACCGAGCTCCGATGTGCTCCCTTTGCTTTTCTCCTGTCACCCTGTCCCTGTCCCCACCTCCCATCCTCGCTCCATCGGCTCTCTGCCCCTCCCCTTCCCTTTCTGCTGGGTGCCTGGCCCTCCTGACACCTTGCCCGTGCGCGCGCACGCGCGCGCGCGCACACACACACACACACACACACACACACACACTCACGGCACACCCTTGCTCACGTGCCACTGGGGATTAGGAACCTGGAAGTCCACACTGGTGCCAGGAGGAATGGGCTGGGGACGCAGTGTAAGGCCGAGAATGCGCCTCCGCGGAAGGGCCCGGGCGGGCAGTCAGGAGGGTTCCCCGGAGTACACTTTGGCCCTCTGCTTTCTCCCCAGCCCATTCGGCGTTGCTCCTGTCTGGGCCTCAGGTAGGAGAGCGACCTGCGCACACCCCGGAGGCAGCATCACAGGAGGGCTCCCTGGAGGAGGCGGCACCTCCCACTCCCCAAGGCAGCAGCCCTGGGGCTCCACAGGCCCTGGACAGCACTGACCATGATGTCCCTACAGAAGCTGTGACGTGTGAGTCCCGGGGGACCACGGGCCAGGGCGGCAGCATGGAGGGGTACGGGGTACGATACCGCGCAGGCAATTGGTCAGGAACGCAGGGGCGCTTGGCTCCCCGTGTGGCCCTCAAGTGCGGCCTGGAGCAGAGCTCGGAACTGGGATTGTTACAGCCAGTCTCCCAGGGGATCCAGAGCGTAGGGGAAGAAAAGTGCTGGGGAGTTGTTTTATAATAACTAATGAAGATCCCCCAAACCCACAGACACATGTTTTGTTTTGTTTTTTCCTTTGAGATAGGGTCTTGCTATGTAGCCCAGGCTGGTCTCAAAATCACAGGGATCCTCCTGCCTCAGCCTCCTGAGTGTTGGGATTACAGGCTTGCGCCACCTCACTGGCCTACGGATACACTTGTACTTTCCATGTTGCTTTCGTGACATGGGCATCTGTGCTCACAGATCAGCCTGTAGTGGGCAGAAGGGTGGCCAAGCCCTGTTACAGATAGGAAACAGAAGCACAGAGACCAGCTCGCCCTTGTACCAGGCTGGGGCAACCAGGCCTCCTGGCTGTGTGCTCTGTGCCGTGCTGCCTACCCAGCCGGCTGGAGTAGCGGGAACCATCCCTAGCCAGGACATCTGGGGCCCTTGGCCTCCACCAGAGACGCCCGCTTCCTGCGGCATTGGGAGAAGGAGGTCAGCCCAGCAGCCGCAGAGCAGGCCTGGGTGGGCGTGGGACAGGCACTGCTGTGTCTGCGGCCCCGGTGTTTGCTCTGTGATTCAGCCCCGCACCACTCCATGGCCAAGGCCGCAGGTGAGCACTGTGGGCCCACACCTCCCGGCCACCCGCTGGGCCCGCAGTTAGGCTGCAGAGCGAGGGGCACCGCAGCTGGCAGCTGGCCAAGGCCCAGCGCCGTCTCCTGGGCAGGGTGATTCAGGCCCAGTCACTTCCCCTGGCCTGGCCCCTGTTTACCCAGATGCGGGCCCAGCCACACCTCTGGCCAGAGGCACCCTCCTTTCCCCTCCTCGACCTAGGCTCCTTTCTCCTGGCTTCCAGGGCCTATCTTCTCCCCTTCTGGGCTGATGGACCTTGGCCGGCTTTGCCCTCTCTTGGTCTGGGTTTTCTCATCTGTGAAGTGGATGGGACCATGGAGAGATCTCTTACAGTCCTTAAAGAAGCAATGACATGAAAAACTCATGATGCTTCTCCTAGTATGGAATAACTGCTCAAACTCGTAAACTAGTGAGCCCAGCTGCTTGGGAGGCTGAGGCAGGAGGGTTGACAGTTCAAGTCTGACGTGGGCAACTTATCAAGACCCTGTCTCAAAATAAAAAATAAGGGGGGGGTAGTAGTAGCACAGTGGTAGCAACCTGCTGAGATTTAATCCTCTGTCCCCTCCTCACCTCTCTGCCTGCTAATCCCCAGCTCCTACTCTCCAGGCTGGTCCCCTTCTGGTGCTCTGCTTCCTCTTCAGTAAAAAGGGCACTTTCCTGTGGGGGATTCAGTGCCTAGGTCAGTGCCCTCATGCATCAGGTGCTCAGGAAGTGCTCCGTGTTGAGCCCTGCCCTCCGCCATCCGCCTCCTGTGCATCCCAGCCCTGGGGATGGAAATAGCCAGCATTCACAGAGGGCCTGGCCAGGACTCAGGCAGGGGTCTCAAGCTCCCATGACCCCTCCAGGGTCCCTAGGAACGAGAGCCTGCCCTCACCACCACCCCAGCCATCCCTGGCTAAGTGGGGTCCAGGAAGGAGTTGGGCACCGGCCAGGATCACCATCCCCGTGCCCCATTGATGAGGCTGGGGCTCAGTGCCTCAGCCTGGGAGGGACCCACCAGCTTCCTCTTCCTCCTCTCCCAGACCCCTCGGCCCCCACCCCACTCTCTGCTGCCTGCCACAAAGGCAGGGGCTGAGGCTTGAGTGGGGGACTAGGGGGAAGAGCAGGAGACAGGGGCTGCCCGAGGAGACCCTGGGTTCCAGGCCCAGCCTGTGTCTCCAAACAGATGTTTCCAATAAATCTCCCAGCGCACCAAGGGCAAAAACAGCTGGGGGCTTGGCAGCAGCTGAGGGCAAGGTTAACGGTCCCTGTCCCGTCCTCCATAGCCAAAGTCCCAGGACCCGAAGAACAGGAGAGTGCATTTCTGGTGGGAGAGGAAAGTGGAGTCCTAATCTGGGTGTGGTAGCACACGCCTGTAATCCCAGCACTTGGAAGGCTGAAGCAGGAGGATCACTGCTAGCTGGAGGCCTGCTTGGTCTACATTCTGAGTTCAAAGCCAGCCTGAGTTTAGACCTAGCGAGACCTCTTCCAGCAAAACAGGCAATGGGGTCCAGGCTCTGAGCACCCACTTCACCTCGTACCTCTCTCTTTGTGAGGTGAGTTCAGGACTAGGAGTCAGGAGCTAGCCTCCAGCCTGCTGCTATTTCGTAGCTTGGCTCTGGGCTTGTCGGTTCTAGGCCTCAGTGTCCTCTCTGCAGAGGACAATCTCGCTAGCGCATCTAAGAATGAATGGAGCAGAGCTGGGGGGCCCTGGGGCCCTACACTTCCCCAGCATCCTTTCTCTTCGCCTCTCCAGGCCAGCCTCAGGGGAACCCCTTGGGCTGTACCCCATTACTGCCAAATGGCTCCAGCCACCCCTCAGAGCTGAGTAGCACCAGGCGGGCTGGGAATGGTGCTCTTGGGGGCCCCAAGGCCCACCGGAAGCTGCAGTCACATCCGTCTCTGGCCAGCCAGGGCAGCAAGAAGAGCAAGGGCAGCACGAAGTCGGCCTCCTCCCAGATCCCCCTGCAGGCGCAGGAAGGTAAGCGCCCATGCAGGGCCTGTCTCTCACCCAGCCCCACCCCCACCCCCACCCCGGCCCACGGCCAGGGGTGCAGGCTAGAACTGCAGAACCCCAGGCCTGAACCCTGCATGGGGCCCGGAAACAGGGTCCCCCATGCCGTTCCCGCCCGCTCAGATCTGCCAGCCTGGCGGAGCACAGCTGTTGGATAAACTAAGGATGCTCCTTTCCTCACGCTCAGCCCTCCCACCCCTGCTCTCGCTGGGGGCTCCAGGGCAGCCGCCTGGGAAACCACTCCATTTCTGGAATCAGGAATTTCCCTGGAGGGGCTGGGGGTGCAGCTCAGTAGTAGAGCACCTGCTTGCCACGCCTCAGACCCTGGGTTCCTTGAGTTTGGTTCCTGGCACCAGAAACAAAGAAAAGAAATATTCCTGGAGGCATGGACCATCTTTCTATCTGGCTAGTGAAGGCAGAGCACTTGGCAAGAAGAAAATGGGGTTTAACTGGGGGCTAGGGGTCAGAGGACCCCGAAGTACCACCCGCTGTTTTTGCTCCAGAGGCACAAAGATCCTTTGCCACCGGGGTCCGGGTACCCACTCAACCTGGGCACAGCTGCCTGTGTTCAGGGCCTGCCTGACCCCATCCCGTCCACGCTGGGGCCCCTGGCCTGGATACAGCATGCGTGGCTGTAGATGTGCCTGGCCCCTGGGTCCTGGAGCAAGGGGCAAGCTCTGCCCTGAGGCCTCATTCCTAACTGTGACAAGTGCAGAGAGAAAGGATCGGATTAACCAGGGCACCCATGGCACCCACACTGGGCAGGGGCAGCCACGGGCTCTGTGGCGCTGAAGCGGCATGGGAGGGCCCAGACAGGGAGGTGACAGGTGCCACCCCAGGCCCCATACTGTTTCAGGCAAGCAGCAGGAAGGCGTAGGGTAGTGACTCCAGATCTGGCCTGGGGGGCACAACCCCAGCCAGCTCTGGGTGGGGCAGGAGGTTCGTGGGTTTGGGTTTCCCCAAGAACCCAGGCAGGGCTGGGGATTTAGCTCAGTGGTGCCTCTGCCTGCCTCGGAAACGCAGGGTCCTGAGCTCAATCCCCAGTGCCAAAAAATAACCCCATGTAGGATTCCAGGTGCTGTTCACAGTTCCTGAGCCTGGAGCCTCAGTTTGTGCATCTGTCAAGTGGGCTCACAGAAGCCCAGTCTTAGTGTCTCAGAGGCCCTACTAGAGTTTACTCCCAAATAGCACCTGGGATGGTGCTGGGGACCTGTCACCCCCCAGGGTGTTTCTAAAGCAAGAGTAAACCAAGGAGGTCAAGGCTGGGGCTTCCCTCACCCCACCGCCCCGGCTGCCTGATGTGGACCGTGCTTGGCTGGGCCTGAATCTCCCTAAAGATGCCGCTGGGGGTCGTCCCCACCTCCCCCAGCCCCGCTGTGACCTCTTCCACCCTCCCCAGACTGCTGTGTGCACTGCGTGCTGTCCTGCCTATTCTGCGAGTTCCTGACACTCTGCAACCTGGTCCTGGACTGCGCCACCTGTGGCTCCTGCGGCTCAGACGATGCCTGCCTGTGCTGCTGCTGCTGCTGCTGCGGGGCTGGCGGGGGCTCCGAGTGCACCGACTGCGACCTGCCCTGCGACCTGGACTGCGGCATCCTGGACGCCTGCTGCGGCTCGGCCGACTGCCTGGAGATCTGCATGGAGTGCTGCGGCCTCTGCTTCTCCTCCTGACCGCCGAGAGCCCAGGCCGGGAGCACACGTGCCGGGACTGTCCGGGAGGGACAGGGCACCAGGGCTGCAGAACACTGTGAACCGCGGCAGGGGGACTTTCCTGGTGCCATCCCAGCTGGAGGACAGCGAAATGTGAAGCGAGCCCCTTCCCTGCCTGACGGGCCCCGCCGGTCCCTCCCTGCCCCACACAGTGAGCTGGAGGCCAGGCCTCGGGTGGGAAGACGGCACAGCGGGGCACGGAGGGAGGGTCTGCTCTAATGGTCGCTGTAAATAAAGATGCTTGTCCATCTCTGCGTCCTCCCGCCTGGTGCCAACTTCTCAAGAAAACACTCTCCACCCTTGCCCAGCCACCCTGCCCTCGGGGGCCCTGTCCCCTCACCTTCTCCTCCCCTACACAAGGGAAGGAGGCAAGGAAGGGGTGCCATCTCCCTCTCCCCTGGGAAGGGCACCCAGAACCGGAAGTTACGATTGGCCCAGGATTCATTAAAAGCAGATGAGTTCGGGTTTTGGTTCATCTGCTGCTGAATCCAGCCCTCCAGTCGCCCCTGTGAAGTCACTGCAAGGCAGTGAGGCCCATGTCCACGCCACAGCCCGGCGCTGCCCCAGGATGTCCTAGGCCTTGCTGGGAGATGAACTGGGACCCGACTGGGCGGGTCACATGCCAGCCTCAGTGGCTCCCTATCACCGGGGGCTGAGAAAGGACTGTGGGAGCCCCGGAGGCCGTGTCCCATGCCTTTTGGGGTATAGAGAGGAGGGGAGACCTGAGTACCACAGAGCTTTTCGGGGCAGTATGGTCCCGGATGGGGAGCAGGGGTGACACACCCCGGCCCTCGATGTCACAGGGCAGGCACACGGTGGCTCTGAGGAGTGGGTGTGAGGGGACATGGGTGGGCGCTGCTCCCACGGGCGATGCTGAAAGGAAGAGGGCCCTGGGGAAGGCGTCTCACGGAAGGCAGACCGCTCGGGAATGTCACGCAGGGAGCCCGCACCACGGGCCTTGGGTTGCCCACTGCCGGCTCTCTGACCTCTGCAAACTCACCCACAACCTGAGGACGTGAAGGGACCTGCCCCGGTGGACCCTACGCTCACTCACCTGTGTGCATGTGGTCCTAACTTCTATTCCGCTATTGCACACTCACGGTGCAGCAGGTCCCCAGCCCCATCTCTGTGTTTCGTCTGGCACTCCCACGCGTTCTCTCTTTTTATAAAGTGCAAGGACTCCACACACCAGGCCACGCCCTGCCTTTGTCACCCGCCTGTGCATCTGGGGAACTTGGGTTATCACAGGGGCGGGGCCTGGTGTCTGACTGGGTGGCCAGGCCGCTGTCCCTCCCCGGCCTGTGTGCTGTGACACAGCCGGGCGCACGTTCCTTGTCACGGCTGCGCTGGCTCAGGGAACACCGCTGAAGGTGGTGCTGCCGGGCCCTAGGGTGCTGCCCAGTCGTCCTCCACAGGGTGCACAGGGCCCGGGGTGTCCACCCGTCCCACGGTGTTTCCCCTCCTCTTGGGCACAGGGGATGGGGGAGGCCGGACCACAGGGCGGAGGCGCATCTGGCACAGGTGGGCAGGAAGACCCCGCCCGGCTGCCCAGAGGAAGAGGCGCCCATGCAGTCCAAACATCGGCTTCTGGCCGCGGCTGCCTGGGGGCCTGCTCTAGGACAGTGGCGAAACCTGAGGGCTAAGCGGAAGGGGTGGGGGGCAGGGTGTAGCCAGCCTCCGACGCACGTGCACGCATCCACGCACACACGGGGTCCACACCGACGCACACGTACTTGCCACGCAACCTCTGTGCACCAGGTGGGCGCGCACTGAACACGTCTGCTCACTCACAGCACATTTCAGAGCCCGGGCCTCTCCCCCGAGCCCCC